TTTATATATGTTATAAAAGTTGAACCCCATATTTCTATACAATAAGCCATGTATGGTTGTATTAGTGAACAGTATATTAGACGTAAGGCCTTATGTTTTAGTATGTCCTTCAGTTTATATAATAGACCCAAAGATTTGGCTATATTTCCTTTTATATAATTTAAATGATGCTTCCAAGATAAGTTAGATTCAATCACAACACCAAGAAATTTTATTTCAGACACTCTTTCAATTTCAGTATCTGAAATTGTTAATTTAAAGTCCCCATTTTTTACCTTCTTATTTCCAAAAATCATAAATTTAGTCCTTTTTATATTCAGTGATAGTTAATTTACATCAAACCAAGATTTGAGGATATTTAACTCTTTTTCGGCCTTCTTTAAAAGTTCTTTTACATTTTTACCTGAACGAACTAAATTTGTATCATCTGCAAACATTATAAATTTCAAGAAATCTGTCACGTTACATATGTCATTTATATATAAAGTAAATAATATAGGACCTATTACTGACCCTTGTGGAACTCCACAACTTATTTCTCTAAATCCAGATTTTATATCTTTAATTTTTACATACTGTTGCCTGTCTTTTAAGTAACTCTCTATCCAGGACTTTGCGATACCTCATAGGCCATAATTCTCCATCTTTTCAATAATCTCCTGTGGTCAATGGTGTCAAAAGCCTTCTTTAAATCAACAAACATGCTAATAGAGAGTTCTTCGCTTTCACTTGCTTGGGCTATTTCTTCTACCATCTGCATTATCACATAGGTAGTGGTTCTGTTTTTTCTAAATCCATATTGACTGTCACTTAATAATTTATTTTTAGTAATATATACGTCTAGCTGGTTCACAAAAAATTTTTCGAGTATTTTTGAAAATTGTGGAATAATTGCTATTGGCCTGTAGTTTTCCATAGAATGCTTATTTCCAGTTTTAAATATTGGGATCACTTTTGTTATCTTCATAGTTTTAGGAAAATGACCTTAATGTATACATATGTCAATGGTCTCACAATAGAGAATATAACTTCTTTTATAATTCCCATATCAATTTCATTTATATCTGTGGATTTTTTGTTTTTAAATTTTCTTACTGTATTTACAACATCAGTCTCACTTATCTCATGTAGAATCATTGAGTTGATATTACTATTTATCAGATTATTAAAAGTATCTGCATCAGGTGGGATTGCTATCTCATTTGCTAATGAGGGGCAGACACTTACAAAAAATTTGTTAAATTCTTCCACTATATTTATTAGATCATTTACTTTATGATTTGAACTATTTCCAAAGTAGTTTGGCCATTCCAAAGTTGTCATCCTTTTTTGAATTATATTATTTAAATTTTCCCACATCCTACGAGTATCGTTTCTGTTTTTATCTAGAATTTCGTCATAATATTGCTTCTTTCTGATCCTAATAGCTGTAGAAAATTTATTCTTATATTTTTTGTAATTGTCTTCATTTTCACTTGTCCTATGTTTGATGAATTTTTCATATAATACCATTTTCTTCTTAAATGCCTTTAACCGACCTTTCTGTTTCAAATTAGCAAGTAAAAAATAACAATTATACACAGATAAGTTAAAATACAGAGCAAGTACACAGGCCATACAACCATAGGTAGATGGGCTTATGTCATTTTCCCACAACTCTACAAAAATAAAAAATGGAGACAAAAAAGTTTTATGGAAATGTTTTAAGTGCAAAAATGATTAACTGTCCCTCAACGGCATTGATGTACAGAACTTAAGCACTAAGTGGGAAATAAAAAAAATAAAGATTTGTGCCAAAAGTCAGCAATAACAGTAACCCACTAAACAGAATTCTTAGAGGAATTAGTTACTTCAGCTAAGCCTAGTCAACAGAAAAATGGTGTGAAGTTGTTTCACACTGATTAGGGTCCAGTCAGTCCAGAACGGTGAGCATAACATGGCCTGTTTTTGTGTTTACCTTTGTTCACATTATATCCGCATGTGTTGCTGTTTTGATCCTAGCTAAGAGGAAACACAGACTTCACCAGTCTCACTCACAACAGAAGTTTGCGTTCACATATGTACAAGTTAACTGTCACACACTCTACATTGGTTAAATGTTCCTTTCCAGTGCGTTATCAATCCTCTTATACTTGTAGGTCGTAGTGCTGCCTCAGCACTGTGTCACCCACTTTCTCCAACTGCTGCAGTAAAAACTCTGCAAAGGTATGTCCTAGCCGGACAGCTGATGGGTGGAAAGGCCCAAAGGAATATTGCTATTTGATTTGGAAACGTCAGTTAAATGGACAGAATATAAATCAAGCTGAGCAGATCTGAAGATTTATGGTCTAAAATATTTCAACCTGTTCATTTTTTTCCTTTTTACTGAATCAAAAGTAAACATACTATAACTCATATGTACATTCACTCCCTCTAATCTTTGGTCAACTGTCCCTTAGCCAGTTGCTACTCAGCCATTCTGTACCCACCAGAAGGCTCCGTGTTAATGCTGGCTGATGATGTTTTTTGGTAAATGGCCTGTATTTGATATAGCGCCTTCTAGAGTCCTAGAACCCCCCCAAGGCGCTTTACAACACAATCAGTCATTCACCCATTCACACACTGATGGTGATGAGCTACGATGTAGCCACAGCTGCCCTGGGGCGCACTGACAGAGGCGAGGCTGCCGAGCACAGGCGCCACCGGTCCCTCCGACCACCACCAGCAGGCAACGTGGGTTAAGTGTCTTGCCCAAGGACACAACGACAGCGACAGACTGAGCGGGACTCGAACCTGCAACCTTCCGATTACGGGGCGAGCACTTAACTCCTGTGCCACCGTCGCCCCCGGTTTGAGAAGCTACATGTTAGCCTGCTTTATCCCATCACAATCCAGTTCTGATGTGTGCTTGGGGTCACTGACAAGTGGAGTTGTGAAGTTTGGATGCAGCCCTCTTCCTTTAATCCGTTCACTCTATGCAGTACACAACTACCACGCATGATGCTGCCACCGCCATGTTGGTTCTGTGTTTATGGATAAGCAAGCCTCACCCAAACCCTAACCCTTCCAACAGGCTTCTGGTTGTTGTGGCCAAACAGCTAAATCTTATTCTCGTCTAACCATAAAGACATGTGGATTGTCCGTGTGGGCAGCTGTACTTCAGTGGAGCTTGAAGGTGTGTCTCTTTTGGATCACAACTATCTTTTTGGCCGTTACCCTCTCAGCCCATCCTGAAGCTGGGTTCACTGAGGACACTTGTGTTCCAGCAGTTTCCAGTTGATGGCAGGCTTTGCTCCTGTGATGTTCTTGTACGCAAACAACTAACTTCTCTCACTTTTCTAAGTACTGGCCTTATTTTAGGTAAGGCATTCTGGGATCGTCAGCACCAACGATTGCATGTCGTCTCATATTTCACTCTAGATAAAAATTTCAAATCAGTAGGTCATTCACACCAGAGATGAGTTGATACAAACCTATGATAGCTAACAAATAACAACTATCATACTGGGGTGGGGTGTAGAGACCTGCTGCTAAGGTCTGACCATTACTGACCACCCCAGCTATATGTGTTTTCTCTCCCGCCTCTCCAACAGAAATAAGGTTTGGTACTAGTTCTCAACGGACCCAATTATTCAACATGAACCAAAATGACCGAACGGACTTACAGCCAGCACCTGACCCGACCGACATCATCACAAACACTCCGACGAGCTTGAGTTTTCCTTTCTTTTTAATGGAGGGTGACAAAGAAAAACCTGTTGGTCCCTGTGTGGCTCAGGTTCCCCTGGCTCAAATTCAGGATCTTTAATCACTTAAAGTTAACTAATCAGTCACGTTCCAAAATAATATTACCGACGGCTCCGGGCAGGCGTCGTCGTCAGCCTAGAGAGAGACTGAGCAACCGTTGTGCAGAAAGCGCTGCTGTCAATGAGCCACCTCCCCCTCTGCATTCATGCACACTGTTCATTTAGTCTGACAGACTATGATGCACCTGTTCTTTCCATGGGTCCAGTTCCATTTTTTTCTTTTCATTTCATATCGGTAGCTCAACAGGTTGAGCGGGTTGTCCAGTAATCGGAAGGTTGCAGGTTCGATCCCGGCTCCAGACAGAGAATTCTGCTGTTGTGTCCTTGGGCAAGACACACAACCCACGTTGCCTGCCGGTGGTGGTCGGAGGGACCGGTGGCGCCTGTGCTCAGCAGCCTCGCCTCTGTCAGTGCGCCCCAGTGCAGCTGTGGCTATATCATAGCTCATCACCACCAGTGTGTGAATGTGTGTGTGAATGGATGAATGGTACACTGAAGTGTAAAGTGCTTTGGAGTCCTCCGACTCTGAAAGGCGCTACACACGTGTGGGTCATTAATCATTTATTATGCTTTTTTTTCTCTCTGCCTGCTGCAACCTCCAACGTTCCTGCTCTCTCAGGGTTTGTGTTGGGTCCAGCGGGATCCCAGTCCCATTGCGGGGCTGTAGTGGGGTGGCGATGCATTAGTCATTCACTTTGTTTAATTATTTCTTCAACTGATTAACAGCAAAATCTTTTTAAACCTTTAACCATCAGACTTTGCTCTAAATGGGTCATAACTATTTTTCTTTTCATTTCAATGCATTTGAGAGGATAAACAAGTAGAAGTGAAGGAAAAAGTTCATCCCTGATCCACGACTGCAGAGACCCAGTTCATTAACAGGCTGCCGTGCTTCTGTTTTGTCTCTGTACATCGATCCAAAACAGTTGGCGGTGTTTGTGTGTGGGCCGTTGGTGAGGGATTGCTGTCTCTGTAATATCACCCTGCTAGTATTCAGCGTCAGTGCGATAGAAAATGCATCCTGTTGTAGGAGACAGGAAAGTTATTCTGCCTGTAGTGAACACCTAGAGAGCATATCAGCATCCAACAGGGAAAATCTGGCTGCTGTGACTCAAGAAATTGCTTTAAGCTGCAGAGAATTCTACTGAAATATGTTTTATTGGATTGTTGGTTCTGAAGCTAATAACAACTTTCTTCTTATACTTGTCTTTTCAGCTTCAGTCTTTCCTGCAAGTCAGCGTGTTTCAAGTCCGTGTGGATGAGTGCACCAGTTCAGAGTGCAGCAGTGCAGGAGGCTGCAGCAGTACTTTGAATGTGCGGGACACACCCACAGTGGTGGACTGTGGGACTATGAGTCTAGTATCTGTGACGGTGGAGTCCACTGCCGTGTGCTCATGCCCAGGTAGAGAGCAGTCCCATCAGTCCTGCACCATATATCCCAGAAACCCCTGCTTCAATGGTGGCATTTGTGTGGACACTCAGCATGGCTACAGGTGAGTTCGACTTTTACTTCGAAGCTCGTTACCAGCATAGCCGTGGTACGCTATGTTTGTCATTGCTTCATTTCTAAGGAGCCGGTTTCAAAGTGAACGTTTTGATAACTTGTAAATGACCATGTAGAAAAATCCTTTGGCTTGCTTGACGAAACGGTTTTATTCCCTTTATTGTTGAATTCACCAACGAAAGCTGCTGCCAGAGGCTTGGATGTTGAAGTCCATCTGGCCAAAGTAAAGAACCACGTTCACATCCTCTCTACTGGTTTAAGATCATTTCCAGTGTGAGTTCGCCTCGGCCTGGGTTGATCCCGTCTCTGATACTGATTTGCAATGTTCACGTGTCATTTTAAAGAGGAGGGTGCTGCATGGTGGCTCAGTGGTTAGCACTGTTGCCTCACAGCACGAAGGTTGCAGGTTCGAAACTCGGCTCGGCTGCGGCCTTTCTGCGTGGAGTTGCGTGTTCTACCCATGCATGCGTGGGTTTCCTCTGGGTACTCCGGTTTTCCCCACAGATTCCAACATGCCCTATAAAGTGTAAGTCACTTTGGATAAAAGCGTCTGCTAAATAAACATAAACATCTCTCCTTTTTGCAGATGATCTGGTTTATTTTAGCATCAAGCATTCATTGTTTCTATGGCAAACAGAAGAAAAAAACTTCTAATGTTAAAGAACTTCTGGCATCATTGTCAAAAGTCTACACACGCCAGTGATTTTGGCCTGAAGCATGCACACAATCTGACATAAATGGGTTTCAATTGCTACTAAAGGTAACTATCGTCATCTGGGATCTGCTTCGATGCCGTCAGTGTGTGATTATAAATTGTGTGTGAGGTTTTGGGCTCCTGACAAACCCTTGCATCTTCCATCCAGAGCTGTAATGATGTTTCCAGTTTCTGAATCATGGGGAAAAATAAAAACGTCACAAGATCTATAGTAAAAGATGATTGAACTCTATAAAACAAGAAAGGGATTTAAACGATATCCAAGATTCAGGAGGCTCAGTGCTCTTTTCATTGCAACTTGCAGAAAAATAGATTGTGATGCAAAAAGAAACAAAAACTCAAATAACTACTGCTGATATTCAGGACTCCCTTAAAGAAAGTGGTGTGGCGGTTTTGAGAAGCACAATAAGGACGCATGTGAAGAAAATGGACTACAAGGCCCAGTTACCAAAAGAAAGCCATTCATTTGCAAAGCATCTGGCTTAGAGTGTGCCGAACAGCTCAGAGACAAGCTTCAACTGGAACAAAATCTTTCGGAGTGATGAATCCAAAATTGAACTTTTTGGCCTCAACCATAAACGTTACATTTGGAGAGGACTCAACAAGGCACCGTGATAAAAAGTTCACCATTCCTACGGTGAAATAGGGAGGTGGTTCACCGATGTGCAGGGCATGAGTGAGTTGACAAGCCACTGGAAACCTGGACCCTCGTCTATCAACCATACGTACGCACAGATCTGTGTGTATTTCCTGTGTAGGAACTAATTAACACATTGTGTGGTATTCATCATTTTGTACCTGTGCGTGAAAACATTCCTAAATATAAGAAAACTTCAGAGCGTGTGTAGGAGCAGCATCTAGTGGTAGAGCGGGGTAACCGCAACACAGAAGCGCTCAGTCATCCACACATGTTCCTCGTCCACAAATGATTTTACCCAATAAATTATTATTTCAGTGGAGAAACAGCTGAGTCACGTAGTTGTTGCTAAAACACCCGACGGGAATCTGACATTGTAGAATGGTTGTTGTGTTTTTGTAATCACACTTTTTACTCTTCCCTTTTTATTGATGTTCTTTAACCCTTTGATGCATAATGGTCACTACAGTGGACAGGTACTCAAAATTTTTATTTATTTATTTTTGCTTTTAAGCACAGCTGTTGAAGACTTTATTGCATTTGAGCCGCTCCATTTGGATTTCGGTAAGCCAAGCCAACATATTTCATGTTCAGAATGCACGCAATTTTAAAATTTTACTAAAAATATTTGTTGAAATTTGTTTCATTCACACCTAAAGATGAATCAAAAAATTGTAAAAAAAAAAATCATGGTTGAAGATTTCATAATTCATGCATCAAAGGATTAAAGGGGCATTATGGAAGTTTGACAGCCAAAACATGTATAGAAATAATAAATGTCTTCTTCATACATTCTCCTGCAATGCCCTGGTCCTGTAGAATGAGCCCTGGCATTTTTACTGTGATTGCCTGTTTTTCTGTAAAATCACAGAAAAAGAGAGATGCTCGGGTCGAGCAGGCTGCTTCATGCGCGTTCACGCTCAGGCATCGCCCGTAGCATTTGCTATCCGTAGCTTTAGCAGCAGAGAGAGAGGCAGTGCCACTTTGTCGCTGTTCCTAACGCCTAGTGACAAAGCTAGCTACATTTCTGCGGACCCTTAGCTACTTTCTGTAGAACTTTCTTCTAGATATTTCCTGCAAGTTAGCAACAAAATAGCCATTTTTGCTCCGAACCGTTCTTTGGTTTGAAGTTGTTTCAGGTGTCATCAAGGATATAAATGTTACAGATACAAAGGACGTCACTGGCGCTTTAGCTCACCTAGTAAGATGTCTGACTCTCATGCAGAAGACCTGGGTTTGATTCTGGATGTGAACATAGTTCATTTAGAGTTTCTTTTTAACATTAATGGTATATTTTTTTACAGTAAGACGCCCAAATTTTTATTTGAGACTCGCCGAACGGCATTGAATTCACAGATAAAAAAGATGTGGGTTCAACTTTCATTTTGGAACAATTTTTCAAGCAAGGGAAGGGAATGATCTGAGCATGCAGGAGGACTGACCCATCATCAACAATGGTCGGCTGTGCTGAAGAGAAAGGTACAGAACCACATTATTCAATTAATTAGCTGCAAGTTCTCCTGTCCTCTGTCCTCCGGGCCACACACACACAACACACACACACACACACACACACACACACACACACACACACACACACACACACACACACACACACACACACACACACACACACACACACAGGACTGTCTCAGCTGTTATTTTCGTTAAGGAGTGTGCACGTACAGCATGCGCACCTCGTGCACGAGCCTCCTATTGAAGCTGCCGTTACGCTTTTGGCCTGAGGGGGCAATCGTGAGCATGAAAATTCAAAACTCCGTGAAGTCCCTTTAAGTGACAGCGTGCATTTTCTTTGGCGATAGCGGACAGTACATACCTAAAATATTGCAAGTAAGCAGTATTTTTGTGTTCAAATGAGACCTTACCAACGGATGGGAATTAGGGTCAAAAATCCCTGGGAGTGCAACCACCTGCAAAATAACAAGATCATCAGATTCCCTTTCATCACTGGCAACGAGTGAAGAGGTAAATGTGTAAAGCAACAACTTTTATTAATGGTGAAAGTTTTGTAACCAGTTGTTACAAATCAGTAAACATATTATGTCCTCACAGACTTCCTTCTAGAAGGAAACATGGCATCCAATACGGCGTCGCCCAGAGACTTAGACCTGCTCCATGGTTATATGTTATAAATCTGCCGATATTTTTCAACAACTGTGTATCTTTGAATTCATTTACTACAACATTTTGATGGATATTTCCAGAGATTAATGGTAAAAACTACATATTGTCACTTTAATTGTTTTTAATTAATTAATATTTTTTATGTTATTTTATTGCATCATATTCTTTTCCTTGTGAAACGTCTCTTAATTTTGCTTGAGATGCGCTAGATGAAAGAACATTTCTATATTATTATTAATGATTAGTCAGAGCATGTTCTCCGGAGTAAACGCGTTTCCATGAGCGCGCTGACAGGAGATCCATCTGGAATTATGCTGTGATTTGGGACCCGTTGTGGAGCGACAGATAAAGCGCACAAATCCAATTCCAGTCCATATTCTACATTACAACTCTGAGAACCTCCCAGAACCTCCTCTGCTCCCTGATCATATATGCATTACCGTGGTAACCAGATGGAATGACAGCTCAGAAGAGGCTGCACTCTTGAACATTTCCAAAGAAAACTAACTCCAACCAGAACCAGAATGCTCCTCCTTGAACCGTCACCTCATCGTGGTGGAGGAGTTTGAGTGCCCTGATGATCCTAGGAGCTATGTCGTCTGGGGCACTTTGTGCCTCTGGTAGGGTCTCCCATGACAAATGGGTCTTAGGTGAAGGGTGAGACAAAGAATGGTTCATGGACGTAAAAACAAAGAGTTGGAGTACCCGCCCTGGAGGGTTACCGGGGTCCCACCCTGGAGCCAGGCCTGGGGTTGGGGCCTGTGAGCGAGTGATTAGTGGCTGTCCAGTGCCCGAACCAGATACATGGGCTCATCCAACTGTGGACCCATCACCAGCAGGAGGAACATGAAGGGTCTGGTGCAGTGTGGATCGGGTGGAAGACCAAGGCGGGAGCCTTGGCGGGCCAATCCCTGGACAAGGAAACTGGTTTTTGGGACATGGAACGTCACCTCGCTGGCGGGGGAAGGAGCAGGAGCTTGTGGCAGAGGTTGAGCGGTACTGGCTAGATATAGTCGGACTCACCTCGACACATTGCATTGGCTCTGGAACCCGAGACCTGGAGAGGGGTTGGACACTCTACTTTGCTGGAGTTGCTTCGGGTGAGAGGCGGAGGGCTGGGGTTGGCTTTTTGTTAGCCCCAAAACTCTCTACCTGTGTGTTGGGGTTTACCCCGGGGGACGAGAGGGTAGCTTCCTTGCGCCTTCAGGTCGGGGAATGGGTCCTGACTGTTGTTTGTGTTTATGGGCCAAATATCAGTTCAGAGTACCCACCCTTTTTTGAGTCCCTGGGACGAGTGCTAGATAGTGCTCCATCAGGGGACTCCAATGTCCTGCTGGGGGACTTCAATGCTCACGTGGGCAATGACAGCTTGACATGGAGGGGTGTGATTGGGAGGAACTGATCTGAACTCGAGTGGTGTTTCGTTATTGGACTTCTGTGCAAGTGGCAGTTTGGCCATAACGAACACATAAGGATGCCCATCGGTACACTT